AATTATTTGAAAAAATAATATATTATCGACTATTTGGAGAACAATAGACACAATCACAAGGATGGATTCTGCCATCTTGTCTTTGTTCTTGCTTTTGACTAAGTGAATGGTGGGAGTGGTTTATGTGGGGGCTAGGGACTTAAACGGTCATTAGAAAAATTGTTTGGATTGATTTTTTTTTCTATTTTACAGGACATAATTTTATTTGTTTAGAATGTAATTCACTTTTAATATATTGTAATCATAGAATAAAATTTTGTGGATGTCACATATGATATTAAAATCGATGTAGAAGATATGATATGAATCTTAACTTTTTTTTTTGTCAAATCATGATCATAAACCTTTCTGGACGATTGTACAAGATGTAATGGACATTCTTAGTGAAGGAAATGATGTAATTTTAGTAACAATTAAATTAAAAATACAAAAGAAAATCCACAATGGATACATTTTTTTTAATCAAGCAAAGCAAAATATCTACCAACTAGATAAGAGAACAACTCAAGTTCTTCATTGATGCCAAGTGTCAAGGTGTCATTGTAAGAAGCAATTTTCGTTTCTTTATTTTGGCCATTAAAGAGTGAGAAATGTCTATTTGAGCCTTGGTGTCCAAATTCAAAGGCTTAATAGTTCCTTACTATTTAGGGGCTAATTGGTAAAAATGATTTAATTATTTTCATTTGTTCCTTTTGTTTGGTTTTTAATTGGTGGGAAAGGTCAATTGAATCCTTTTATGAAAACTAGCTCTTTAAATAGTTGTTAACTATTTAGGGTTATTTTTGTACATTTGAAATTATTTCTTTCATAATTTTCTGATCAAATACAAATAGTTGTAGACTATTTGTGGGCCCTTTTATCACATGGGCTGTTTTTGGATTAATTAAGATAATGGAGTCAGTCTTATTAGTATAACTCATGTTAGACCCGTTAGTTAGTGAAGCACCATAATTAACAAGTGGTTAGTTTAACACTTAGCCCTAATGATTCTCTATTAATCATCATTTTTGGTCGTTGTTTAGCTTTCAGAACCAGAATTTCCTTCCCCCGTCTTTCGGTGAGATAGGTACCTGTAAGTCTGCAAAATCTTCACTTTTCTATCAATTCCTCCAACAATTAATTGTACTTCCTTTTGATTGCAACCCAAAAAATCCTCCACATACACGTGAAGATTTCTTTTGCCCCCAAAATCAGTTCAGTGATACTTCTTTTCCCTCAAAATTAGCTCACTTTAGGGATGAATCCGGTACCAATTTATCAATCATTTTGGTACTTGGTTTGAATTTAGCACTGAAACTCTCATCTTTTCCCGGGTATTTGATTTGAAGTGATGTTTACTTTCAAAAAAGAATTTTTAATCATGTATGGTACAAGTACAGAAAATATAGGTATGTTTCATTTTCCTCGCGTTAAAACCCTATCTTCGGGCGCTGCAGCCGATCAGCAATCAATCTCTCTATTCTTCTGGATTTCCACTGTATCTCAGAGATGAAGGTGGTCACCGCATATTTGTTGGCCTTGTTGGGAGGAAACACCTATCCCTCTGCCAAGGATATTAAGGCCATCCTTGCTTCCGTTGGAGCTGATGTTGATGATGAAAAAATCGATGTGCTTTTATCTCAAGTGGATGGTAAGGATATCACAAAGCTGATTGTAGCTGGTAGGGAGAAGTTGGCTTCAGTACCTGCTGGTGGTGGTGCTGGTGTTGCAGTTGCTGCCGCTGCAGCTGGAGGTGCTGCCGCTGCACCTGCTGCTGAGGATAAGAAAGAGGAGAAAGTAGAAGAGAAAGAGGAGTCCGATGACGATATGGGCTTCAGTCTTTTTGACTAACGAGTATCAAAGTGCTGGTCTTTTTCATTTAGAAGTTTCGTTATGTTTTTGTTTCTGTTTAGTATTAGTTGGTGTCCCTGATTTTGCTTAGGAAATGAGTGACAGAGATACGACATTCTTGTTCTGAAACAAGCTTTTTTTCCATCATATTGTTGCTTAAAAAAAAAGGTATGTTTCTATCTTCTTTCCTTCTATTCTGAACTGCAATTTTTCAGTTTGAATGTTGTTGCCTTCTATTAATTGCCTTCTGTTAATTAAAGACCGCCATGTGTTTGATGTTATGCATAAAAGAAACACTATGATGGTAATTTTGTGGATTAGCTTATGTTTGCTTTTCCTTTGTTTTTAATTTCAAATGTTGCATGATGATTTTAGTTGTTTGTTATGAATTGGAAGCTAGATTTACATATGTCTTTGCACAAATTAAATGAAGCGTTAATAATTCAGCAGACTCGCTAAATACTCCAAACGAGTCGGTCTTCTCAGGTACGGATAGCTTTATGCTCAAAACATTTGTTTTCAGACCAAATCAAACACGCTACTATTATCGACTATTCACATCACACTAGCACGTAGCGAGTTTTGGTTAACCATTTATCCAATTTTGCCGCTTTTAGTTTCCCGTTTCAAGTTATATGGCACAAACATCTTTTAAGGCTCGTATTGTATTCCGGCATTGGACACAAATGACAAACAAAAAATCTGCTAAGCAAAGGCTGTGATGTTTGAGCAGCTTCCATGTTTTATACTACTCAATTTCATTTTCTACACTAGGGAGGGACAGCCCGTGCGACTCGCGGGAATTTCGTGCTTGTGATTCAAGATAATTAATAATTATTGTTTAATATTTTGTAGTATAAGAACTGAAGTATGATGATTTTATCATGTGATTTTAATAGAAAAATCATAAGTTACATAGTGAGTCAATAAAAATAATGTGCAATAAGACATCTTTATCGTTATACTATATAAGAATTCGTTGTGATCAAAGGTTATGTTTGAATTTCAACTGCAAAGATAAGGGTAGTTTGAAAATGTAAGAATTTTTGAAGTGTAATTGAAAAGTATCCGAAGGTCTCTTCTAAAACTTATCCAAGATGATAAAACATTTTAAAGTATCAATTGGACCCTTCATTTCTCGAATCTATATATGTTCGTGAAAGATCCCTCGAGCAATACTTCTGATTTTTCCCTCGACTTAAGCTCAATCTGAATTATCAAGTCAAGTTTATCCATCAATCATTTTGCGTCCAATCTAATCTAAAATAATTTTATTTTTTACTAACTATTTATATAATTTGGTGGGTATAATACGACTTAATCACATGTTTCTTACAGAGATAATAATGCCCAAAAATGATAGATAGATAAGAAACTTAAGTGGTCTTTTTCAAAATTTTGTAGAAACTATTCAGATTTGGTATTTTTTGCTAGAGGCATTTCTTTATAATCTCATAAATAAATTCAAATCTGCATAATTGTTAAAGATCTGAATTGAAACTATCTTGATTATAAAAAATTGGTGCAAATAATAGTTTCTAAATTTGAAATTATAGAAAATGGTAAGTAAAATCAGAAGAAATTTCTTATATGAATTCGAATTGCAAACTATAGGTAGAAACTACTTAATGATATTTTTCAATGTTTACTTGTATAAGTATCCAATATAACATCTCTACTTAATTGACTTGTTTGAACTATGGATAATAGTTGTTTCAATCAAATCAAGAAACATTATTTATCATTGTACAACATACAATGATGAGTAAATGAATTAATACAATGCAATCAAAATGGTGCTGTAGTTAAAGTATTTAAACTCATCAAGTTCCACTACAAATTCTTTTACATAGCATAAAAAAACAAATTTTTTGTATTTAAAACTATATAAACAGTATAATACAAGAACGAGATCATAACATGGAAAGCAAATAGAGTGCAAATGACATCTTAGTACTATGTAGCATGATTAATTTTATTTTTTAGTTTCAATGAAGTACAAAATTCTAAATTAATAAATTTTACAATCATAAAATTCCCAATTAAAATAAACACAAGCTGAATTCCAAATCATATTACATGAAAAAATAATTACTTGAACCATAACTGCTGGAATGTAGTCAACAGATCCCTGGAGTCAAGAATAATATAAGAAAGTTCATGAGAAATAAGTTTATTTGACTTAAATAAATAGATAATACCTTGGCTCAGGAGGAGAATATGATAAAATTGCTTTTCTGATTATTTTAGAAAGTAACAACATTATCTCAAATTGTACTTTGACCAAAAACAGAATCTTTGGGACTACTAAGAAAAACAATACAATTAGTCAGTTTTTGGAATTAGAAGTATCAAAAGACAAACTATATGGAGTTCTTGAATAAACCAATCATCAGAAAAAAAAAACTACAATCGAAAAAGACAAACTCAAAGAACTCACCTCAATTTAAAGGAAAAGCTATGCATTTCACCAAATATTTAATAGCCATAATAAAATCAAAGAGGTGAAACCGAAAAAGAAGAAAGGGTATCGGCTAAACATGGGAATATAAATATGATAATAATTGTTCAGATAATAATTAAGTTAATTGATTGTAATTAAAATCCAATTATGTAAATATCCAATTAATTCCTTAACGGATGAGAAAGGTTTCAAGAAATTGGAAGGCTTGGATGTTAGTATAATAAATGATTAAAAGGATTTTTATGTAATTCTATCAAAATACAAGCTTTATTCAGTTGTACTTGATACTCAAATTGGCACCAAACATTGTAATATACCAAACCTGCCCCTAACCTTAAATGTCTGAAAGGTTATATAAGTAATTATAGTGAAATTAAAGCTATAATGACTTGTACTCAATGTTCAAATTACTCTTCAAACACTCTCATATTCCCAAAATAGCCTCACCCCTGCGGTTGAAATTTAGTTCTAAACTCGTTCTTATATAGTATAAGGATTCTTTTATAGACTTTTACTTTTTTCCATTTGGACAGCAATTTTCTACATTCTTTTTTAGACTTTTTACTTTTTTTCATGGTTAGTTTATGTAATTTATGGTTGTAATTTGCATATTATTTACCTCTTGAATCTATATATACATTATGACCTTTTAGCAAATTATCCTCGTTGTTACAGCAAATTCAAAAAATAAAAAAAAATCAATAAATAGTAATTTTTTAATCCATAATTAAATTGATCATATCAGTGGTAGGCCAGTACATAGCACGGCCAAACCCATGCTAGTATTAAAAGAAGCAAGAGTACAAACGTCTGGTACAAGTGGCCAGCTCATGTAATACAGATTATTCTAATCTATCAACTTTAATAAGGCTAATTTTCCTAAAGCTAGATGCTAAATAAAGTGTATCAGATAGGATGTATTTGACACTAATGGTGGTCTTGGCAGAATGGGCACAATGAATACTGATTAGTGTATCCACCGTGCAAAAGTTTCCAACACAGTTCTTATTTGGATTCATGTCTTTTATTTTCCAAGTAATCTACACACTTGTGCAGGTAACTGTCATGCAAATCCTGATCTCCAAATATTGCACTAATTTCTTTAGCTTTGTCCTTGAAGATTTTACCTTCGTTTTCCACCATAATCAACCTGACCGAGTTGGCCACCGAGTGGCTCGTATACGATCCATCTACATCATTTCTCGGTATTTCTATCCCCACCTGTTTTTCCTCCATTATCCTGGCAATCAACCCCGTATCTATGATAAAGGGCAGCATAATGAGCGGATGACCAAACATGAGCCCCTCTATACTCGAACTCCACCCGCAGTGAGTCAGGAATCCACCCACTGAGTCATGACTCAGTATGTTAAGCTGAGGTGCCCAATTCTTCCAAACGATACCCGTTCCCTTGACTCTATCGTCGAACCCCTCTGGCAGCCCAGATGGATTCCTTAGTGCCCAGAAAAATGGTACCCCGGATAACTCCAGCCCAAGAGCTAACTCACTGAGTTGGAGTTGATTCAGTGATACCTCACTCCCAAGTGCCACAAAAACCACCGAGCCTTTACCTTGACCATCAAGCCAATCCTTGATTGCAATCCAGGACTCGTTGTTCTCGACGATGCTTTTTTCCATCGGGGGTGGCATTAATCCCAGCGGTATTATATGCCGCTGTAGCAAATCTTCAAGCAACTTCAACCACTGGCCTTCAAACTCGGGGCAATATCTTATCAATGTAACATCAGCACCCTTTATGGCCGATCCGACCCGATACATATCCGATACACCCGATCCATCTAGGTTCTTGCTTCGCACAACAAATCTACTCTCGTGTAACTTGAAAGCCAATTTACTCTTGAATGGGATCCACTTCGGTGGAACCGTAAAATCCTCGAGCTTAGTTCTGGGATCAGTACCCGCGACCATCGCATCAAGAGAGGGTGCAGAGAATACCAGACTGGCAGCGCTGAAAATACAAAAGAATGATTTAGATATGTTGAGCTTAGCTGCGATGTGAGGTATCCAATATGGGGCAAAGTCGTAAATAATCCAGTCCGGAACTGAGGATTCCAAGAAACGAGTCAACTCGGGCTCAAGTCCGTCGTAGGCTTTCTTGAGAACGGCAACATCAAGACCGCCGAGGTCTACGGTGGCCTCCACATTTTCGGGAAGCCCATCGACTGGGGGGAGTGGGATTTTTACAAAGCTAATAGAAGATGCTAAATTTGGTGGGATTTTAGGGAGGCGATCGATGTTTTTAGGGGTGGAAACGAAGCTAACTTTGTGACCTCTCCGAGCTATGAATTTTGAGAGCTCTAGAAAAGGGATGAAATGGCCGAAGGCTAACCAAGGAAGCATGACAACATGTAAGCTGCTGGATTTGTCTGCCATGAAATAGTATTGGAATTTTAGCTCTATGATTTTTCTCCTCGCCTACAGCTTTTCTTGAGGTGTTGATGACATATTCGTTGTTGTTCTTCTGTTGGGTATTCATCCTAGACGCTTCATCCTGGAGCGCTACGTACCACAAATCAATGCACGAGTTGCTATCACGCCGCTGATATTTTTGGAGAAATTTGCAATGATGACTGGGGCCTCTCGGTTTTGTAATCACAGGTTCACTGTCACACTGCATTGAGTTTTTGGCAAAAATGTAACTGTCTGGTTTTTTGGATATGTAGTGAAATTTCACATTACTTCTTGTTGCAGCGGATACAAGAACTGTTTCTAGATAATTAGACGCTGTTTTCCTGTTATAATAAGCAAGTAAACAGGCTTCTTGTCGTGTTCATTTTCTATTCTTCTTACGTGTTAAACAACACTTTTCCTTAATAGAAATTCTATTCGTCAAAAATCAACCAGTTGCTGATTTCATGTTTCAAAAACTAATCGCCAATTCCCCGATCCAATAGCAATACAAAGTGGAAGGGAATTGAGTGTATTAAACTGTCCAACACAATTACGCGCATGCACCCAAGGGAATCGTTTGATCAATGAATGCCCATAGTTGCTCCCAAAAAAATTATAAAAAAAAAAAAAAGGCACAGTTGCTATAACAATAAAATTTTCATACCCCTCAAGTCATCGAACATGATTTGTTAACCATCATTCCCATAGCACAAGGGTCCTAGTGGCAGAATCCATCCATGGGATTGTGTCTATTGTTCTCCAAATAATCTATAAATTTTTGGATGTAACCGTCATGCAATTCTCTGTCTCCAAATATTCCACTCATTTCTTTAGCCTTCTCCCTGAAAATTTTCCCTTCATTTTCAACCATAATAAGCCTAACAGACTCAGCCACTGAGTCTCTCGTGTGCTCAGTCCTGGGTATTTCAATTCCAACCTTCCTATCCTCCATAACCCTGGCGTTCAACCCTTGGTCCACCAAAAATGGGAGCATAACCAGCGGATGACCAAACACAAGTCCCTCTATGCATGAACTCCAACCGCAGTGAGTCAAGAACCCACCCACTGAGTCATGACTCAGTATATTCAACTGTGGGGCCCAGCCTTTCCACACAATCCCTCTCCCCTTGACTCTCTCCTCAAGCCCATCTGGCACCTGAATTGACTCGGTTGATCCAGACGGCTTCCGTAGCGCCCCAGAAAAATGGCACCCCAGATAACTCCAACCCGAGTGCCAACTCAGTGACATCCGTTTGACTGAGTGGCACCTCACTCCCTAATGCGACGTACAAAACTGAGCCCTTGTTTCGAACACCAAGCCATTCCCTGATTGAATCCCAGGAATCATTCCCATCATTGCTAATCTTTTCCACCTGAGGTGGCATTAATCCCAAAGGAATCACTTTTCTTTGATGCAGCTCCTCAAGAAGCTTCAACCACTGCCCTTCAAACTCGTAGGATTGTCTTACGGCAATAACATCAGAACCCTTCATTAACATTCCCGAACGGGAGCTGTCAGACACTCCGGTTACATTCTCCTGACCTGCTCCTAGAATCCAGTTGATCTCGTACGGCTCGTACGCCACTTTTGTCTCAAAAGGAACCCACTTGGGAGGAACTATGAAATCCTCGACCGTCGATCTTGGATCTGCATCATTGATCATTACATCTGACGGTCCTAGAAATGCCAAAAACCATGAGTTGATAAATGAAAAGAATGCTTTAGAAATTCCCCGCTTGGCAGCAATTGTAGGCAACCAGTAAGGAGCAAAGTCGAAGATAATCCAATCCGGAAGCGAGCTCTCGAGAAAGCGAGTCAACTCGGGTTCGAGCCCATCATAGGCCTTCTTGAGATGGGGAATGTCCTCGTTACCGATGTCCATGGTGGCCTCCGCATTTTCCGGAAGTCCTTCAACTCTGGGCAGTGGAATTTTGACGAAGGTTATAGAAGAAGCAAAAATTGGTGGGATTTCTGGGAGGCGATCGATGTTTCTTGGGGTGAAAATGAAGGTGATCTCGTGACCCCTTTGAGCTATGAGTTTTGCGAGCTCCAAAAACGGGATAATGTGCCCAAAGGCCGACCATGGGAACATAACTACGTGTAATGGTCTGGTGCAGCGTCTGAATTATCTTTTTTTTTTTTTTTTTTTTTTTTATCGATACAAGGATGTCTGAATTCACATGATTCATTTATGACATGAATCGTACTTCCAATAATTACCTGTGCATGAATGTGTGTGGATAATATTGGACCGATGTCATTTTTTTTGAGTGAGAGGATATATTATTTATTTATTATTTGGAAATAGTTTACTCTCATTCTCTCTAGTTGCTGAATATTTTTCTATCATACTCCTGTTATCGCTTTGCGCTGTAAAGAATTTGACTTGTAAAACTCGTCTGAGGAAGAGCAGAGCAGCTTGTTCGAGCAATATCATTACAATGTGTTGGATATTTTAATAAAAAATATCACATATTTATTTTGAATTCAAATAAAATAAATTACAAATTCTTTAAATAAATTTTCAGTTACAAATTGAAACATTTAAACGTGTAACTTATGGGATTTGTGTCTTGCATTTGTAACTTATGTAATGATTAGGTTTTATGAATCCATTTGGTAATTTTTTACCGTTATACAATGAATCTAGTCTTTTCAATTTGTAACTGAAATATGAGGTGTTAATTCCTATTAATGTTGGTATTTTAATATTCCTAAATTCTTAGCCTATATATAAGGCATCTATCAACCAAACCAAATATATACTTTGCTATCTCTATACTACCTTCTATTTTTCCTCCACTACTATAAGAGTTTATAGGGCAAAGAACAGTATTAGTGTGAGGTTTCTGTCTTGCTCCAATAGTGTAGATTGGAGTAGGGCTGCAAACGAGCCGAGCCGAGTCGAGCTTTGAGCTAATCGAGCCGAGTCTCGACTAAATTTTACCAAGCTCGAGCTCGAGCTCGAGCTCGACGAGCCGGCAAATTTCGAGCTCGAGCTCGAAAAAAAATAAAAAATAAATATTTTATTAAAAAATAAATAAATAAAATAATATTTTTTTCTTAATAAATAATAAAATATTAAGGACATATACGTAATTTTACTATGAAAATAAAAAATAAAAAAATATATATAATATACGTAATTTTATTATTAAATAAAAATAAATATATATATATATATATATACTCAAGCTCGCGAGCTAACGAGCTTAATATTCTGAGCTCGAGCTCGAGCTCGAGTTTGACTCGAGCCGGCTCGAGCTCGACTCGAGTTCGATTAACATCGAGCTCGACTCGAGCTTGACTCGCGAGCGGCTCGATTCGTTTGCAGCCCTAGATTGGAGTAGACTACAGTGTGCAAAAGGTTAGGCTGTTGTAACCTGGAGGCGGCGTGCTAAGACCTACTACACTGGAAGATACTCCGTAGGGGCGCGAATCGTTTTAAAGAGAGCGACCTAGTCCGCGCCTCAACCCATGCCAAATCAACATTTTTATGGTACAATTTATTTGCATTTTTAATGCAAGATTAAGGTATGAATTTTTGTTAATTTATTTGTTAAATTTTATTAGAAAAATTATTGTGACTTATATGATTTATTTTGGTCTAGAACCAACAATTTTAAGACGATCAGCCTCTTCACATAAGATAAGATTATCATTGCATGTTTTGCTTCTAAATAATCTAATCATAAAACTAACATAATCCTGACGATAAGAATCTTACATGGTGTATAACACAATTCGGACAAACTTTAATAAACAAGATATTTCATGTGAATGGTCACAATTATAGACTGAGACTAGAAAGGATAATATCCATTGGTTTCATATGCTTTAGAGTCTGGTATCAATATTATGTAAGCGCATTAAATAATTCGCAATATATACCTTTGAATCCAAGTTGCCTATTATTAATAGAATATCATGTATTTGTTTGTTCAAGAAAAACATGGTACTTGCATGATGTCTTTGTATATTAGTTGACCAAATACAATAATTTTTTGCCATTTTTGAGTTTATAATATATGTTGTATGAAGCAACTATTTTCGCATGAGCTTGTTATGTTGCATAGTGAACTTTCAATGAGTTTGTTTGGACAAAGATAATTTGATTTGCAAAATTTATTCTCACAAATCCCAATCACCTTTTTATCTTCTCAATCACCCTTTTATCTCACATACATCATATCACAAAAAATGTTACAGTAAATATCTCAAATAAATCATCTAAATAAACTCTTATCCAAACAAACTCAATGTCTCTTATATTAACGGATTTATTCCGATTGAAAATTTTGGCATTGACATATAAATGATTAATTTGATGATAAAGATATGTACTCCATGAAATGCATGTATAACGTGGCCAGTTATTGTCTTAAGAATAGTGGTATCAAGGTGTATCAAAAAAAACTGCAATTATGAGGGTTCAAGTTATATTTAAATAATGGGGGTTTCAAATTCTCTAGTTTTGTCTTGAATTCATATGATCTTAGTCCAGCTTGAGGTTTGCATTTTCACAACCAATAAACGGTATTAATAATAAATGAAGAAACATTACATTGTCACCAAGGAAAAATTATATACATGGATAATAGCTTTAGTGGCTTGAAGTTGTGAAATATAAAGTTATTAGCCATATAATTCTCAACAATTCTATTCTCTTGACTTGTATTTTGTTAAAATTGTGAATATGAACTTTTGAGTTGAAAATGTGATATTGTACATTAAAAAATATGTATTCGAGTCAAAGGCCATCAATTTGCAGGCAACCAACAACTTTTGGATTTGTATTAAATTATTTCATGTTGTTTGTTATGTGGCTATCTTTGCATTTAATGCAAACTGGAATACTTAATTTCCTTGCCAAGCATGACTATAGAAAGACTATGCTTGGATGGAAACGCTTGGATGGAAACACGGACAGTGGATGTTGACTAAGCTGGTAGCTATGAATTTTGAAACTCTTGAGATTTTCATTATGAGGCCTGCATTACTTGCAGGTTGAATTTTGAAATTAAAACATAATAGTGCATTGACTATTATATTTTTTGAATTTTCTTAATCTCTAATTTGAGTTGTGCAGATTAAAAAGTGAGGCATGATTTGGATAGATTTGAATTACTTATGAAGTTTTCTTGCAAAAGAAAATTCATTGAGGACTATGAGAGTGGCGGGTTACTAGATTACTAGTCACTGAGAAGATTACAGAAATGATGGAAATTAATGTGGCTTTGCTTGATGTGAGCAAATATATGCCCATTCTATTTGCTCAATTTGTGAGTATAACATAATTATTGTTTTTTGAATCTATTCTAACTTTATTTTGAGTTGTGCAGACTAGTATTCACTGAAAAGTATGACCTAATGTGAAGGTACTTGAAATATTTTTTAATATTTTTGCAAAAGCAAAAATAACCATGGAGATTTTTTAGAATGGCTTCTAGTGCATCACGAGACTACTGGCCATGAAAAAAAAATTTTAAAATTAC